AGTCACCCAGTCATACCACCCTCAAAATCCAACCAGAACAGAAGATATGGAATTTGACCCACCAGCAACGGTGGGACAGTTACGCTAACAGTAGCGTTAGTGTAGTGCAGTGTTAGCTTTCTTAAGCTACGCTACTCAAAAGTTACTGTTAGTTGCAGATTCTGGACAACTAACGCCACAATTTGTTTTCAAAAAAAAAGTAACTATTAATGTAGTGCTAGTTCTCCTGCCAAAAAGAAAACTAATGCTACCTCCTCCAAACCTTTTCTTCATTCTTAAGGCAGAGGGGGCATAAATGGAAATGGGTTTATGAACTGATGTGGTTAAATAATGGCCAATAGATCATTCAAGACCTTCATCCACTTGATATCTGTTTTCTCAATCCTATGATGCTCATTTGAATATTAAACTGATTATGTGTTGTATCTTAGTCCTCCCTCTTTTCAAAAGGAAAAGAAGATATTGTGAAGCACTTGTGAAACAAGCGACAACAACAACACTCCAAGGATGTTGTGCGCCAACAATCCCAACTGGAATTAGGGAAACAGGCATCCACGGATCTGAAAAAAGGCCCCTTCCAATAGACTGTCAGACCATCACCTCAACAACTTTACAATGAGTTCATCACCCAAGCAAAGAAGAAGTATCTTAATGAAAATTCCCTCAAGCAAGCAATAAAATTTATTTCCACCCCTCCCTTTTGCCTGTTTGACTGTCCAAGCAACCAAGTGATGATCTTTGATGAGCAGAATGAAAACCAAATTGTTGGCCTATTGAAATTCATTCCTTTCTCCAGCATGACCCGTGATGAGCTTAACAATCTGGAATTTCTTGCTGAATTTTTCCATGACCACAAACAACAGTGGGCCGCTAGGCTACACTACGCTACATGGCCAATAACCGTTAGCGTAGCGGTTTTATTTCTTCTTCCAAATTTGTGTAGCGTTAGTTGTATTTTTATTCCGCTACACTAACAGTTAGCGTAGCAGAAAAATTTTCTTCAAATTTTTCTGTAGTGTTAGTTGGAAATATTTTCTGCTACACTAACAGTTAGCGTAGCTTTTCTTCCGCTAACAGATTTTTGAAGATTATGTAGCATAACTTTTTCCCAGCTAACATCCAGCGTAGCGTAGCTTAATTAGAGCTATGCTACGCTGCGCTACACA